CAGACGCTTAATTAATTCCTCGACGGTGAGAAAGCCTAAAGTGAATAATATTGAAATTACATTCACATAATTTCTGCATATAAGATGCTCAGTACTAAAAATCTCAGTGCTAAAAATAGTACACGTAATATAAACTATTACAGTAGAGCTACAATTGATTATCAAATAATTATTTTGATATGAAAAGTTCAAAAAAGAGATCGTAAGTAATCAATATCTATAGAGGCCCACATTAGCAAAATGCCATGCTATTGTTTAAATTTGCATAACTTAAAATATATACAGTCAAATAAAATGTTAAATAGCAAACAATACAATCAAAAATACATATATTCGTGTGATAATACGTTCAAGTTTAAGAAAAATGAGAGAAAGTGGGTGTAATTAAATGCTAAAAAGTACCTCAGAAACATTTCGAAATACTTAAAAGTAAAAATGCGTTATAAGTGCTGGTTATTGAGTACTGATATATTAGCGTCATAGTATCGGCGAGCTACTGAACAAATAATTCCATAAGTAATCATCAGGATTCGCTATGTAATAGCGGAGATATTAAGAGAGGCCACAATATATGGTATACACTGGCTATAATATCACTTTCTCTATAATAATATTAAACCATGACTTCTTCTGACTCTAAAAAATTCTCAAAATAACGAATGTGCGTGTTGAATTCTTCCATTCGTGTTTTTACCCTTCTATTCACAACTATATGTAGAGACGTTAGGAGGAAAATGTTTAATAAAATATTATTTTCTGAAATAAATTATATGTTGATGATCTCTCATCATTATACCATTTATTCTTATAAAACATTATTTTTCATAGCACATAAGAAACAGTTATATTGAACCTATCTAAAAAGTAATTGCAAACGGAAAATCAAAATAGAAAATTGTGGAATGGAATTGCAACCAAAAAGAATTTGTTAATAAAGCATAGAATTTATTGATAATAATTTATTTATATATTTGAAATATTGTTAAATGGTTATGTACTTGCAAAAGAATTTCTGAAATACTCAAAGTCTGTTAATTTCATATTTCATGCTTTTATTTCGTCTTTTCGTTAGCATACAAATTTATTCTAAAAAGATATTTTTCTAACGAAATCGCTCATATAAAATAATTCATGTCGAGAGAGAGAGAGAGAGAGAGAAAGAGAGATATTTAATTATATGACAATGTACATAACATGTACGTAACATAAATACAGAATGTAATATAAACAATAATAATAAATAAATATATAATTATACATATAATATTGCTAAGTATAATTATTTATGTAACATTGTTGAATATTAACTCTTTGTCTTTAAAAATCTCTCGAAGTAGCCGATGTGTTTCTCTATTTGTAACGATCGTAATTCTATTTTTTTACTAATGTAATGAACATTAAAAGAAAGATGTACTTTTTTTAACAGTATATCTTTCACCTGAAACAGAAAATGTTGACATTCATTAATATATACATAATTTATTCTTTTTAAAGCATTATGCTTCACAGCATATTAGACACATTATTTGATCTCATCCAAGAGTCAAAGAAACACTCGTAAAAGGAAGATCGATAACAATAATTGTGAAAAAAGAACTAGCTAGATTTATCAATGAAAAATAGAAAAAATTATTCATAGTTGGTTCTTATATGTATTTAAGCTGATGGCAGAAAGCGAGACGTAACTGTTGTAGTAGAGGACATAAGAGAAAGTAGAGAAAAATGTATACCTAAGTCATGAAAGGCTACTACATCTGCAATTGTTTGTATTAGCAATAATTTCAAAGAAAATTGATTGAATCGATTAATTAGGATACCAAGTATATGTATATTTATAAAATTTACCTTGTCAATTTGTTCTGTAGAATATATATAATTAATAATGTCTATTAATGCAATAATCGGTTCAATTTTGCTGTAAAAATAAAATGCCAGATACAATTAATTAGTACATATGATAAACTTTTATGATTTTAATTAATGTGTATTTATAAAATATTATTACCTGGGTACTACTTTTTCAAAATTGTTTAATATGTAATTGAGTATTAAATCATTCTTCGCATGTCTTGCAACAATAGAATGAAAAATTGTAATGCAATGTATTTCAGTAAAATATCCTGATATCAATCGATCGATATAGCCGATAATGATATTATTATATTCGGAGCATGCTAGATATTCTAAACGTTTGTTGTCTAATGCACCTGCAGTTAACACTTCGTTCCAAGTAATATTGTTCGCTAACATCATTCCGTTACGATACATCCATTCCTTCCATCCCGGCCAAATTCTAGAGTGTTTGTTGATTTGTTCTTTAGAATCTAGATGATTATAAATAATTTCTCCTAACGCTACAATCGGATTGGTCTTACTATAAAAGAAAGTTAAACTTTTATTACATCAATTAATTTTTTATCATTTTATATTTTGATAAACAATAACAAATTTAAAAATCTTTATTACGTAAAAAAGAACAAAATTAAGCGGACAGTCACGCAGTGCAGTTATTGGTAATAGTATAAGTAACAAATATATATACAGGGTGTTTCCAAATTAAATGGCAAAACTTCGGGAGC